TAAAAACGAGTGCCAAAAAGGTACAAGAATAGAACCTCTTGAAAAAAAGATCTTTTATCAAACCTGTACCAATCTAAGAATAGACGTCACCTAATTTATAAAAATAAAGAGAGGAAACGCACCTGCAATCACTACCACGAAATAAATCATTTGAATGAAACAATAAACCGGGATTTTGGGAAACTTCGGGATTGGAGAGTTTCACTATTAACAGGGTATTAAAATACAAAATGAGTATTAATTGTCTGCATAATAATTGCAGGCGCACCGAAGCACGTCCGGCCGTAATTGCACAGAAAGAGAAATGTTATAAATTATCTTATCGAGATGATTCAATTAGTATTTGGAGAAAAGCAAAAGAAAGTACTGATGGAATGGGCACGAGACTCTGCTAAAGGAGCATAGAACTGTACAAATTTAGTCAATCAATGTCACCTAGCACCGCGGGCTCAGAAGTAATTAACCTATTACATATCAGTTGCTCTAACGAGGATAAACATTGCATAAATCTTTTAATGTGAGAACCAAAACAGGTTTCCTGTTGGGGGCATTTCGCCAGACAGTAAACATTAATCTAGATATCACCTACATTAACCACAAACATATCAAATGCAATCGCCGATGCCGTAAGGTAAATTACCTACATTTAGTAGGTACATTTAAACCACCTACTTAAAATTTACCATTTTTAGAGGGTTACGAAATAAATTTGAACCAATTTTCTAGGTTTTGATTTGATTTTTAAAAATATTCTGCTATTCATAAGCAGCAGCGTTGTGCCGCGTTTACACGAGGTCAATAACTGGACTCCATTAACAGTGTGGTAACCTACCCCTACGGTTAGGCAACACACCTTTATATCGGAAACAAAAATATGATACGCTTTGTATACAACCACTCGTACAGCGTTTTCGATTTTGATCGTTCTGGTCCAGGGGATTTTCATAACGAAGCTAGGGGAGAAAGTTAGTCAGTTAACGATATTTTCGAAAGGGGAGCTGGGTTGGAGTACAATGGTGGGTCTACCGTTTATTTTGTTTGTTGTGTTTTGAAAGTGTATTTGCAGGTAGTAACCATTCTAATCTTTCTTGCACTAACTATTAACCATTAAATTTCATGTCACAATTTGTTATTACTTACATTTTGCATAAAATATTTGATACCGAAGCAAGGAGTACTCTATGCTTTTGTTTTAGTACCGTTATCTGCACCACGTTTGCTTGTTATACTGTACAGGGTGTCCCATTAATAATGGTCACAGGCTATATCTATGGAACCGTTAATTGCACAGCTTCGGGAAAAAATTTGTTAACAAAAGGGGCCAAGAGAAATCGCTGGAAATTATTTTCAAGTTTCTAACTTCGCCGCTAGAGGGCGTATGATTCATGGTTAGGTAGAAAAATGACTTTTTTCTTAAAATATACCCAACAAACATGCATAAAAAATACATGCATAGTAATCTTGTATCAATTTTGCATCATTTTGATGGAGCACAAATTGCTCTAGCTCATAAAATATGAGGAGTGGGGAAGGGGAACATCTCTTTAAGGAATTGATTGTAACTTCGGATTAGGTTAACAGATTTTCACAAAATAGGTCTTGTTGGAAGGAGCTCTCTTCGCGGAATCAGATTTTATTAAATAGAGTCTTTTTAGTAAATGTGATGAGTGGTAGAGGGCGCGATGTGACATTAACATAAACTTTGCAGGTTTTTTTGATAATTTCAAATGGAATGATATTATTATTATATGATATTATCAAATAAGGTGAAATAGTGAGAATATCAGTGAAAACCGGATTTTGATATCTGTTTTCTAACCATAGATCTGGCGAAAATACGAATACATTCACAAATTTTAATTGCAATATTGATGCTCATTCAAGTTGGCTTTGAAACAAAAGAAAACAGAACAAAAGAAAGTTTATCAGTCCTTTCATTAAACGTATTCGTGCGAACTATCACCACGATGGGTGCCCGGCACATTTCTTGGTAAGCGAGAGTCGAGGCGAGAGTGTTTGAATTTGAGTTATCCTGGCAAATGGATAGAAAGAGGAAGTATTTTTTCATGACCAGCTAGGTCACTCGACTTAACTTGCTTAGACTTAAATTCGTTTGAAAGGATAAAAGACGCACAGTCTTTCTAACAAGGCCAACTACAAGAAACGATATGGTGACGAGAATTAGAAATGTAATTCATAGTCATGGCTGAAGTTAAAGCAACTGTTCTCTCTACACAGCAGAGACTCGTCTTTGTGTCGAAAATAATGGCAGACATTGAACATTTACGTTAATTATAATTATTATTTCTTTTATTATTTACTTAATTCATATTTCTCTGATTTAAAGTTTGAATCATTTTTTTGTTGCTCATAATTAAAAAACTTAGATTGAGTGTTAATTTTGAACTGCCATCGCCTCATTCACTTTGACATAATTATCGGTTGCTATGTGTTCATTTGTTTCAAATCCAATTTGGATGAATATAAATATTGCAATTAAAATTTGTGAATGTTCGTATTTTCCCCATATCTCTGCTTAGAAAACAGATATCAAAATGCGGTTTTCACTGATATTTTCACTTTTTCATCTTATTTGATAATATAATATAATAATTATATCGTTCCATTTGAAATTTTTTAAAAAACTTGCAAAGTTTATGTTAATGTCACATCGCGCCCTCTACCACTTATCACATTTACTAAATAGACTCTCTTCATGTAAAATCTGATTCCACGAAGAGAGCTCTTTCCAACAAGACCTATTATGTGAAAATCTGTTAACCTAATCCGAAGTTACAATCAATTCCTTAAAGAGATGTTCCCCTTCCCCCACTCCTCATATTTTATGAGCTAGAGCAATTTGCGCTCCATCAAAATGATGCAAAATTGATACAAGATTACTATGCATATACATGCATTATGCATGTTTGTTGGGTATATTTTAGGAAAAAAGTCATTTGTCTACTTAACCATGAATCGTACACCCTCTAGCGGCGAAGTTGAAAATAGTTTCCAGCGATTTCTCTTGGCCCCTTTTGTTAACAAAATTTTTTCCCCGAAGCTGTGCAATTAACGGTTCCATAGATATGGCCTGTGACCATTATTAATGGGACACCCTGTACATGTGATTATACCTTTATATTGTTTATTAAGTATTCCGATTCTTCGCTGTATCTGTTACTTTCTTACTGGTAACCCGCTGCCGGACGGTGCGTAAGCTATAAGAAAATTTTGATGTTTCTCTGTATGAGTGGTTTAACTGTTTTCGTGGAGTAAGTACCTCATACGGCCCGGTTCTTCGCTGTATCTGTTGCGTGCTCGTCTCGCAGCTCTTGGCTCTTAGCAAAACTAGAAGGGGTTCTCTAATTAACATTTCGTCTATTCAAAATGTTTTGCTTGGGCGATAATGGACCTTAACATGAAAACTTAATATTGGCATTCTCACATGTACTTTTCGTGTTAAATTAATTAAGTTAAGTAATTAAATAAGTCGAGGCTGGAGTACAGCCATGTCATTTTGATGTTTTTTTATGTACATGCATTTTTACCATTTTACAAGTTGTTTTGCCTGAAGTAATCGTATATTTGTGTAATGTGTTTGTGTATTGATCATGTTTTCCACTTTTATTTATGATGTCTCTTATGTCTGGTTCTTGTTGATTACCTGGTTTTATCGTAAAATTTGAGATGTTTTGTTTTTGTATTTTTTCTTGCATTTTGTTGCCGTAGATGATTTATTTCATGTATTTGTGTCGGTTATGCCGGGGTTTTTGTCCCGAAGAAGGTTTTTCCCTCGGTTTTTCCCTTGGCCTTGTTGCGCGCGTAATATTTTATTTGTTCTTGTCTTTTCTTACGCAAAATATTCAATTCCCTACCCGATTACGGCTCACGTCCCAACACATAAGAGAACCGATTATTCAACGTAGGAATTCATTCGTGCCACCCATAACGAGCCGACTGCTACCGAGAATCGGTAGTGCGTCCGTCGTTTCGACTTGAAAGTTAGATGGTTCTGCTCGTAGTTTTTGCGTTTTTCTCCAGCCAATTGTAAGTACATATAAGGTACCCCTAAAAATCTTTGGAACCAGCTCCGTGTAAACACCAACGGAGACCCGTTACGATCTCGTCCAGTCGAAACATGTCGCGCCAGTCTACTGTCTTCAAGAGTAGCTAGTGGGCCAGTAGCAGGCTACTACTCAAAGGAGGACTCGCGTCGTGTAAACTGAACTAGCCCACGCCCGACGCAACGCCAGTTGGGTTACAACATTTATTTCAATCCTTTGGCGTGAAAAACACTGTATTTATATCCTCACGGGACACTGATGATGCGCACTCATCCGTGGGTTCGAACTGACTAGACATTCTGAAGGCTTCCAATGAACTAGCTTCCTGTAAACGTTAATTCACTCGACTGGACAGGACAGCTAGTGAAATCCAGTCAGTAGAGTCCAGCTATTGTCCTACTTACTGCTCTGGCTGTTTAAATGCGTGTGAAAGCTTGAGGCGCAGAGAGGTCGTGGGAGATTAAGGGGTAGGATTACGCGACGATTTTGCAAGGGGTATATCCGTTGTTAGTAAGTTTGCTAGTTATCGTCAGATCTGGTGATTTACCGGGAAATTATCCCCACGCTTAGTAAATTTGTAGGTGTTAAGCGTTTCGATTGGATGGAAAAATTAGTTTTAATTATTGGAAGAGTGGGCGTGACTATGAGAAGGAGGCTGCCAGGCAATTAGCTTTCATCTGCGTGTTTTATACTTTGGCGTGGCACTCCAAAAATCTAGAGGGTGTAGTATTTATGGAAAAGTTGCGTGCACCTTGAGTAGCGAAGTATGTATAAAAACCCCGTTCAATTGCGAGTTAGAAACTACTACGGTAAATTAGAACAATAGTGGAGTTTTAACCTACAAAGAATCAAACTCGCGTGACTAAGTAAAGTTGGTTTGCAAACAACAAATGCATAATATCCCGCCGTCTGAAAAACATCAGAATTTCCACTAACCTGTAACGGAACACTTTTCATTGCTCTCCTGTTCCTGCTTCTCGTCCTCGGTTTTAACCCGACTCGGACTGCTCGGCGGACTAATGGAAGACAGACTACCGGATGTGCCGGACAAATTGTCTCTACTACGTTCCTTTTCCTCTAAGGGCGATTTACTAAAACTATTCGGCGACCTTGACGACGTCGACGATGCGGCCGACGATGGTCGCAGGCTATCCTGACTCGGCGATTTGCTTTTAAGACAGGACTCGTGATTAACTTCTGGCACTTCGTTTTTAGGAAACAACGTTTTAGGTGATTCAGTCGAATTGGAAGGGATAACGGGTTGTTCGGAAGTAGAGTCTTTATCGAACGATCTTCTGTAGTTGGAAGTGATGTTTGTCGTTGGAATTACAGAGGCGGGCCTATTTCGTCGCACGACATTTTGCCTTCGTACCGGCTCTGTGCGTTCTAATTGGGGAGGGGGTGACGTGGGAGGGGTTGGTAATTTATTATTGAATGACGCGCTTCGTGTCGTTATGTTTTTGTTACTATCGCTAACCGTTTCTTTATTACCGTTGGTTACCGCAAATTTCACTTCCGCTTTATTCGGATCACTATTAAATCGTGACGAACTGCGAGATTTCGAAAAGTGCGACGTCCAATTTCGTTGCTTCTCGATCAATTCTTTGCTATTAAATTTTCGTTCGGGTTTTTCGGGTTTTTTCATGATGGAGGGTTTAGTCCTTTCCTCATCAAGTTTCGTAACGCTTTCGTTATTATTAACCGACCCGTTGACCTTATGCCCGTTCATTTTGCCAACGGGAACACTACTGTTTAACACAGGTACACTATTACTAAAATTATTTAGACCATCTTTCGAAAGCGAAGGAGGCGATGGCGACCTTGAACCGTGATGCGATTTCGTATCCCTATTCTCACTATTGGCGGAACTACTTCGAGATCTCACGTCCAAAATACTGGAAGCACTTTTAGTCGACTGTAGCGGAATTACTTTATCCCTGGTGGTGCGATTTTCTTCACCCAGTTTTTCGAATAACGCTCGCGCGTTGTTAAACCTTGCTACGTGTGATTCGGTACGCATGACTGTAACGTTGGGACCTTCCGATTCTTTTTTATCCGATTCTAGGTGTTTTGGCTTGGTGCGTAACGGTGTGATTATGTCTTCTCTGATGGGCGCCTTGTTCTGGAAGATGTTGGCTATTTGAGACACTTTGGTACCACCCACGCGAGATCCTTTCTTATCTTCCATACTACGAACCTGCACAACAAATAGTAGTATAAGTAATAACATAAGACCATAATTAAAAATAGATATCTACACATCATTTGATATTTGAGACTTATCTCTCCTGATAACAAATGCTATTCAGATAAAACTAATCCGTTACACCTTTTAGTTTTGTTGTTGTATGTTTCAAGGTCGTCTAATGAAAAGTCTCAACGAAAGGAATTCAAAAGGGGAGCTTACAGAAGGCGATTGGAACTTCTGGACGAAATATATCCATTAGTGATGTCAACATTTTATGAGCGAATATCTCGAAAACAGTCTGTCGGCGGAGAGTCCTCACAACGCGAAGAAGAATCGTCTGGACAAGACATATCTATTACTGAGGTCGAAACGAATAACTCAAAAACAAAGTGTCGGAAAAGGGCGGTTGAAACGTCTAGACGAGACATACCAACTGGATACCTACGTGCTTGCCTTGTAATATTTATAATATATTTCTATATTTTATTTTACTTGAGTATTATATTTCACCTCAATGTCGTACATTGCATTTCAATCCAGCAAATTTACTGGTCAATAACTATTAAAATTTTAACAATGCCTCTTAAGATCCTTTGACATAAAATCTTACGGTACGTTCATGCAACAGTAACTAACGGTATAAATTTTTTCGCAAAATAACACCACATTCTCGTTTTCGGTGTTCGATTAAATCTTTCGACTAAGCAACCTGCCTATAAAAGTCTTCTTATTTGTTGTGTTCCGAGGTATATTTTAATATCAGTTTCCTCGTAACTTAATTTATCACTTTTACTAGTTCTAGTTAGGTACACTCGCGACGCTAGTTTGAACAGCATATTGACTACAAGCGTAACGCTAGCTCCACTGTTGCTCCTGTTCGAGCCGTTAATCCAAAATTTTTGAACCCATTTTATACAAAGCTTTCGAAAATTTTAATTTACCTAAGTACTACGTTTGTAGTAAGTTCATATTTAGTACTAGGAACCGTCAAAATTAAAAAAAATTTGCTTTCAATATATTTTAATAAGAACCGATCCTCGGAAGACTCTCTCAATGTCTACCCTGTATTTAAAAAAGGTGTAACGTTATTTCCTTACCGTTTGATATTCCGGATTGAATTCCGCTAACTGTTTGATTTGTATTTCTATTTTAATTATTTTCGCTCGTACTTCAAATTTAGTATTTACTCTTATTTATATTCCATCTAGGCCGGTAGTTTTAGATGTAAGCTAATTCATGCAGGAAATATATTTTGATCTTAGTATAGGGTTTTTTACGATGTTCTTTGTTTCGCCGACGGAGGTCGTGACGAGTTTTCCTTAATTTCTTTCGGCGCATGCACTCCTTTGTACAAGGACGAGAATCGATCATTACTTGTAGAAGTACATACACGTCATTACAGTTACTCGACAATTTTTGTCAGCTTTTTCGAATTTATTGGTGCTGTATAAGTTTAGGGAAGATTGTTTCTTGTTATTTTGCTTTCAACACTTCGCTGGCGCATTTGCGGATATATTTTACAAGTTTTAAGGACGTTTTTCAGTTTGTTAACAAAAATTATGCCTTTATATATCATATTCAAATTTTTGTAATGACGGTCAAGCATTTTTATTGATTGGTATCGGTTATTTTAGTTGCCATGGATACAATAAATAAAACAAAACCTCTACGGATCCATGACCTACTACTTAAAAACCGTAAAAAATTGTTTTTATTTTTGGTTCATGGATAAAATTTAAAAAATAGGTTTGATATATTAATGTAATCACGAAAAAAATGCAAACAAAATTGACGTTAAGATACACAGGGTGTTTCGTTTAAAAATGTCAACTTTAGGTCAAATCTCAGAAAAGGCGGTTAAAAAATTTGTTGTGTACGCCACTGAATTCTACGTAAAAATAACTAAAATAGGCAGTTTTAACCTTTTTTCTATCTTACATGATTAGTAATAGGGAGCTACAAGACGGTCTTATGCCGCTAATGGCAATAAGCCATGGATTCCGCAGTACCGATTACCAATCAATGATTATTTGCTAAAGACGTGTCGAAATGATGCAAGTACGCTGGCGCCAGTAAACGACGGCCTCGTAAACTAGCCGCTAGTGAATGTAAACACACTATTGTTAGTACGCAAGTTGACTTGCACAATGAGTTTACACCATGTTAGTTTACTGGCGCCACTGTACTTGCATCGTGTAAACGCGCCTTAATGAAAGTCGTCCCGTACCCATTCGAACGATATACCCTCGACTCTGAAGTTTTGGCGTGCGTTCCTGTCCGGCTAACCACTTACCGCTCAAGACAAGACAGTTTGAATTGGTGTAGGTAGCGGCTCAAATGGAATATGGAGTAACATACAGTAGTATTTTTAAAAAACCGATGCACCACGGAGTGTCAACTCAAAGAGCTCTACAAATAACGCTTTAGCCTTTTGACCTCTTGTTAAAAAATTAAACTGGAAAAATTAATTATCTCTATTATAAAACAGGTTAGTATTCCCATTTCGATAGTATAAAATCAAAAATGAGGTGAAATTGATTATCAAGATGGCGGATACTGACACGTTTTGTGCAAAGTGTAAGAAAGCTTCGGTTAACAAAATGAATTTCTTTGTTAACCCCTGTAAGGGGTGTTGTAAATTTCCTACGTTAGATGTCGCCTGCTGTCATCCGAGCTGTCGTCCAATCAAAAGCCTTCTTATATTCCCACTAGTTTAACAACCGCAACGTACCCGTCGAAGGTGTCTCCGCAACAGACCATCATGATCCTGAACGGAGAGAAGATGCTATCTGTGTTTAGAAAATAATGGAACCCTTTTCGAACATATACTCTAAATTTAGTTATTTTATTGGTTTTTAATGAAAGGTGAGTTTACAGTCCCCATGTAATTACACACTTTCGTCAGTACCTATACAAAAATAGCCGTCCTTATACATCGAAGAATGTAACAAAACCGCACAAAGCGCGCTAATAAAATTTGTTTTTCAAAAATACTGATTTGTCGGAGCCGTATGGTTTGGGCTGGCAACAACCTCAATGAGTGGATTTTGATAAAATGTCTCGTATGTATTACCTGCAGAACTGGACCACTGCACTTAGTTGAACTTGAACCCCTCCTGAGAAATTATGAACAATGGCGGTATTGCAGTTCCTTCTGCTTGCCCGTCTGTCACGATTTTAAGGGCTCTCAAGACCCTTCGACGCTCGTCAATAACGTATCTCCCCACACCTTCAAGTTCCAAGCCCTTGCGATTAGCAGTGCAAGTATAACAAGAGTTATACGTCTGGCATGTTGTTGAAGGTTCTTGCTTATTACCACCGAACAATAGTAAATACCTAAAATTATTGTTAATTTGATTGAAAAATATGCTCATTAACGACAGTACGCTAACATCGTAAATAAAACTTTTAACCTACATTTTACTTCACGAGTAAAGTGGATTTATTGTTTGTTTAACTTTACGACGCGTTCGATTTTTTATGTTAGTACATTGTTATCGTGTAGGATTTCATGCTATTAGTCACAGTCCAATATTGTTAGCGCTCGTAGTCATAACATAACATACACCAACAAAAAAATCATACCTACACTTTGTTTCAATTTTTTTATGCTTAAAAAAACCATTACCTAATGGTGTTTTTGCAGTGCATTGTGTTCCGAAATTTTCGTTTCCATCTCTTTCGTCATATTTCGTGCTAACAATACAATAATAGGTAAATAATTCTTTTGTGTACAGAATGATGGGTTGAATATTTGAAACGTTCCAAATAGAAGATTCCACTATCCTACACATTTCCTGTCTGGTTGAACGTTCTGGGCTTACCCAAATTTCCAGTCTAACATAATCATATACAATTGTTGTTTTCAGTACAAGAATATTACCTCTAACATGCTTATTTTAGCTATTTGCGACAATATTGAAAATAATTGAACTTAAATTAAATTTAAATGAAAGGTCTCAGCAAAAAGAATTAATTTCTACCAACCCGTCCTCCTCGGTCCCTTATCGTGGTCAGATATCATTCCTCACATCTCAAAAGCGAAGTGCCGGAGGAAGGTACTCACAAAGAGGGATTGGGACGTCTGGAAGAAATATAGCCATTGGTGATGTCAAAAATGTAAGAGCGAATATCTCGAAAACGGTTTGTCGGAGGAAGGTATTCACAAAAGGAAAATGCAATATTGCGGAGAATGTCTGCGAGGGCTTGATTCTTCTGGCATTCTCTCCCCAAGAAGGCAAAAATCGATTAAAACAGCATGGTACAACCCTATAGCCCAATTACTAAGCTATTTCGGTTTTAAAAAATGTGCTTTATGCACAATTTATACTTGTTCAAAACACTTTCGATTTTCATTTTGATTTTATGTTCAGCACCGGTTGTTACTTTAACCCCGGGGATAGACCCCACTCTTTCTGGGGGGTGAAAAATGTGCTAATTTTAAACAACTTTTGTTCTATAAAATTTTCTCTGAGTTTTCGAACAATTTGCGAGTACAGGTGTTAAAAATTCAACCAAAAAATCACCGTTTTCAGACCATTTTTCGCGAATAACTGAACAAGTAAGTTTTTTATCGAAGAAATTACTCTCAGTAAAAATGCAGCTTTTATTCACAGCCGCCCTCAAAAAAAGTAGTGAAATTTGTATTTCTCATTTTTTTCTCATCAACCAAATACTGAGGGCTCGTTTTTGAATAGGTTTTGTAGTGTGCCCTTTCCGATTTTGCGAAATTTTTTCAATATTCCTGCCACGAAAGGGCGCGCCCCTAAACGGGGATGTGAAAAAATTCTGATTTCCACGAAATTTGGTACTGGGGGTGAAAATCACGAATCTGACATTGGAGATTTGGAGCTCGATTTGGAGATTCGACAAAAAATTCCCCTGCAATTCTTGGCCGGACAATGAAAATGGAGAGAATTCCACGAAATTTGTTGTGTACAGGGTGGTTCAAATTCGTGACTCACCATTGGGGTCTCCGTAACGGTGAGAGATACAGTGTAGGTTAAATT